ACTTATTTTAAGAATACTGTTTACTTCCTTTCAAAGCACCAAGCTACAATATCAGAATCAGAAATTCTGACATGAAGTGGTAAAAAACAACATTCTACTTGCAAGCACTTTACTGCTTTGGAGTATTTTCTAGAAAAGCAGCTGAAATATTCCTCTTCCTTAAAGTGGAGCTCTACATGTTCACGCTTCCCCCTAGGCTTTGAAAGCAGAAGTCCATCAGGTTGTTTTATTCAGTCTTAGCAAAACTGGAAGGAGTTTCTCTTTTCTTCTTATTCTTTTTTTTAAATATATGAATATTTGCCCAGAATCTTCTGAACTTGAAACTATAAGAAACATCTTATAAAATGATGCCTCTTTGGTAAAGGTACATATCTACGGCAAGAGAAAAAAAACTTTTATTTTGAAATATGCAAGCTTTACTCACTTAAATTCATCAGGAAACTCAAGCGAGACGTGATTATGATAGTCCATCTAGGAATCCAGGAGAATGCAGCGGCATTTTAAAATTCTCAACTCTGGCTTATCATATCTTTGACATATAAGAAGAAAAGGTATAATGATAACCTTGGCTGTGTTACGGCAAATTTCTAGCAGGTACACATGCACATGTGTGTGTATGTGTGTGTGTGTGTGCCTGTAGTGTTCCAACAGATACTACCAAAGATAGTCTTGAAGAATAATATTCCTAATCTTTCAGAGCTATGTACAACTTATACTACAATAATAGAAATAATATGAAAACACAGCCCAGAGATTACGATGACATCAAAACCATTTCTACACAGTTGATTATAAGAGAATTTAAATAAATCATTAAGTTATATGCATAGTTACATTTATAAATTGATTAACCTGATAAAAGATAATGATTAAATAATTAAAGCAAGAGATATTAATGCTCAGTGTTTACTAGAGCTAACCCATATTACCCATGATCCCTCCTCTCCAACAACAGCCTCACAATTAACACTAACTCCATCCAGAAATTGCCCTCATTTTTGAAATATAAAATAGAGTTGAAACTTAAATTACATATGGAATCAAAAAAGGGCTTGGATAGCCAAAGCAATCCTAAGCAAAAAGAACAAATTTAGAGGCATCACATTACCTGACTTTAAATTATACCACAAGGCTGTAGCAACCACAACAGCATGGGACTGGTATAAAAAGTAGACACATAAATCAATAGAAAAGAATAGAGAATCCAGAAATAAAATCATATACCTACAGATATGATAGAATGACAGATATTCAACAAAGGAGAGAAAACATACACTGGGGAAAGGATGTCCTCTTCAATAAATGGTGCTAGGAACACTGGATAGTGACATACAAAAGAATGAAACTGGATCCTCTCTCCCACCATATATAAAAATTAACTCAAGATAGATTAAAGACTTAAATGTAAGACCTGAAACCATAAAAATTCTAGAATAAAATCTAGGAAAAACTCTTCTGGTCTTTGGCCTAGTCAAAGAATTTATGACTAAGACCTCAAAAGCAAATCTGACAAAAATAATAAATAAGTAGAACTTTATTAAACTAAAAAGCTTCTGCACAGCAAAAGAAATAACCAATAGAGTAAACAGACAACCTACAGAATGGGAGAAAATATTCACAAGCTATACATCCAGCAAAGGGCTAATATCAAAATCTACAAGGAACTCAAACAAATAATCAATAAAAAAACTAGTAATGCCATTAAAAAGTGGGCAAAAGACATGAACAGACATTTTTCAAAAGAAGATACACAATGGGCAACAAACATGAAAATATGCTCAACATGTCTAAGCAACAGGGAAATGCAAATAAAAACCGCAATGTGATACTACCTTAGCACTGTCAGAATGGCCATTATTAAAAAGTCAAAAAACAACAGATGTTGGCTCAAATGTGGTGGAAACAGAATGGTTATACATTGTTGGTGGGACTGTAAACCAGTACAACCTCTATGGAAAACAGTATGGAGATTTCTCAAATAACTAAAAGTAGACCTACCATTCAATCTAGCAATCCCACTACTGTGTCTCTACACAAAGGAAAAGGAGTCAGTATATCGACAAGACACATGTACTCGTATGCTTATCGCAGCACAATTCATAATTGCAAAGATACAGAATCAACATAAGTGCCCATCAACTGATGACTGGGTAAAAAAATACACACACATATACCCCCATGGAGTGTTACTCAGCCATAAAAAGAGAATGAAATAATATATTTTGCAGAAATTGTATGGAACTTGAGGCCATTATCCTAAGCGAAGTATCTTAGGAATGGAAAAACAAATACTGCTTGTAAGTGAACACTTATATGTGGGAGATAAGCTGCAGGTTGCGGGGGTGGGGGTGCAGAGGGGTATAATGGACACTGGACTCAGAAGGGAGAAGGCTGGGAGAGGGGAAAAGGGATGAAAAATTACCCACCAGGTACCAGGTACATTATTCAGATGATAGGCGCACCGAAAGCCTGACTTCACTATACAATTCATCCACGTAACAAAAAACCATTTGTATCCCCTAAATCTATTGAAATAAAATTTAAAAAAAAAACACAAAAAGGTTAAATATAATAAAAACTGTTTGAATTTCCTTTAATAGGTAAGTTAGAATTTATTTACCTGATGGTTTACATGCCTTACAAATCCTTTTAAAAACTGAAGTTCAAGAAACATCCAATTCTCTAATTTTTGTCTTTTCCTTTCTAGAGAGAAGCTAACTACAGGTACTCATTGCTCTTCATTTTTTGTTATTCAAACCCTGGAGTCTTTAAGTTTTGAAGACACTGCCCTTACTTACATGAGCGCTCCATCATAACAAGGTGAGGGACTAGACAAGAGCCAGTCACACGGCATCACCCTGGCAGCACTGCAAGTCTGTGAATTCTGAGGCCCTCTAGCTCCCCCAAAACATCCCATTGTTCTCACCATCATGTCTTTAGTATTTCATTTTGTTCTTAAGCTTCACAGAATGCTTTTCATTTAACTCTTCTTTTTACATTCTTTTAGTTCATTCAGAAGTTCTGAGGCCAACCTTTAAAGGCTACTTGGTAGATAAACTCAGGTCAAATATTTTTTATATTATTGATAATCAGACAATACAAATAAAGGCATCAGTTAGACCCTATTTACATCATGTGAGATGAGCAAACGTTCAGGGAAGCTGCTGGTTCAAAGTGGAGCATGCCTGTTGTGTCTTTGTTCACAAGCTTTTCAGAATCCAGTAAGGAAAGGTGAATCAACGACACCTAAGAACAGTGTGGAGGCAAGCCGGCTTTGATGGAGTGGGAGAAGAAGCCTCAAGTGGGCCGCTTGACCGCCTCAAGAAGCTGTCACGGGATGCTATTTGTTATTTTAGCACTGGAACCACAGAACACTCTCCAGAGAGCTCTAAGAGACAGACCTCCACACTAAGGTCTAACTAACTTTGAGGATAATGACTCAAACTTAGACAGAGGCATTCAGATGGCCAGTTATTTCCCCTGGAAATACCTGCCACTCAGAAATCTCTAATGAGAAGGTAGAATATGCCAAACTCTCAGGGCTGCCTGACAGAACTCTGTGTGGATGAAAATGCTCTATACTTGTGCAATCCAGGATGGTAGCCACTAGCCATGTGTGGCTGCTGAGCATTAGAAGTATGACCAAGTGTGTCTGAGCAGCTGCTGTTTTAAACTCGATTTAATTTTAATGAATTTGAGATTAAGCAGACACATGTGACTAGTGACTACCATACTGAACTCTGCAACTCTAGCTTAAACACACACATACACATAAACACATGCATGTGGAGACACCCACACACACACAGCCTGAGGAAGATTCTCTATAGCCACTTGATCCTAGTGATGTCTACAAAGTGGCTCTACCACCTCCTCCAGCGCCCTGAGTTGAGACAGAGCACCTCCCAATGACGACATCTCTGCTCTGTGCTCTCCCCCTGCCTGGCTTCCCTCCTTCTCCTCTCCCTCACTCAGCACCTACAGTTTCCACTGGTCCAGCCTCACTCTCATACTCCGTGAGCCCTACAGATTCGCGCAAGTGGCCAAGCGCCTACAAGTCTTTATTTCTTCAATGGATACTATATCTTTTTCTTTTAGGTGTTAGTAGAGTTTTATATTCAAGTACGCTACTTGGGAGTGCCTCCACTATGTCTTACAGCGACATTTGCTTTAGTTCATTCAAAAATGTTTTAGGCACTGGCTTCCAGGGCAGCCTGAAAACCCCAGTAAGGCAAAGATTTCCTGCACTGCCCTTGGATCTCCTCTATTCAAACAAATGTTTTCTTGATGCACATATTGTATGACTTATTCTTTTTTCTTTATTTATCAATGGTGTTTGTTTTACATATTTGTGTATTTGGAGAACTTTGATGTTAATTCTGTTCAGTTTTAATTTATATATTCTGTTTCTAGATCACCAATGTATTTCATCTATACATTTTTTTTTACCAATTGATGGGGATAGAAAAACCAGCAAGGATATATACATTTATTTGCATTTATCTTTCTTATAAGCATCATCTACTCCATGTTATTATCAAATATTTAAAACATAAGTATATTGTACAACACAACTTTATATTTTCTATTCTTTCACAGAATAAGAGAGAAAAAGAAACAGAAGCAAGGTGAAAATGAAAAGGGAAAGGTAAGAGGTGCTGGAATTTCTCTGGAAGAAAGCAAGTTTCAGGACCGGGATGGGGCACAGGGTGGTGAGCATATCTGAGAAAGTATGTACTTTTTAAGAAAACTCTCAGAGAACAGGGACTCTGGGACATGATGTGGGTCTGGGAAACATCTTGTAAGTCCCAGAAGGCTCTAGAAGGCCAGAGGTAGGCAAACAGCAGGCAACATTTTACAAGGGCCTTTATGACACAGAGAAGGGAGTGTCAAACGGGACACCTGGCTCCAAGAGGCTCATTTGTGATGCTGTAAGTAGCTTCTAATCTGCATGATGTTTTTCATTCATCCCTGCAATAATTTAAAGAAAAAATTTTTACCTGTGATGTCCTGAATAACGTGGACCACGGATATGGCCTATTCCCCGGCACCCTGGCGTAGGACAAGCAGCTTGACCCGGAAGGATTTTCACATCATTTGCTCCTTCAGGAAGTAAAAGAACATACCTTGAAAACACCCTCATTAAAGAAGACCTTAAAAGAATAAAATATATAAGTGATGTTAATTAAGACTTTATATATTAAAAATAAACCATCACCAAAAACCATTTATTGATTACTTATATTTTATGACATGATTTAGCAGAAAATTTCAATGCTGTAATAAATAACACTAACAGCACAATTAATATCAGACAGAGAGGAAAATGAATAGGCACTGAAGAAATTTAAAAACAAATATGAGAACATTCATTTATTTCTGTCAGAAATTAATAATAGCAAAAGCAATTCAGCATGAGCTGAGAATGTGGGCATGTGAGGTCCGGGTTGTGGCTCCCCAGTGAAATCCTCACTCGGCCACAGCAAGGCTCCTGAAATGCTGGACAGAAACCGCACTTGCAAACAGGGTGTGCTGTAGACAGCAGACACGGCCCACACACATGCTTGCTGAAGGAGCTGTCAAAGCTAGGTAAGAACTGACACTATACTATACTGTAGTGTATATTATACTATATACTATACCATACTCTACTATATCCTATACTACACTGTATTATACTATACTCACTATATCCTATACCACACTGCACTGTACACTAACCACTCCAGGCTAGAGAGGAATTCTGCTAAACCCAAGAGGCAATCTATCGCTGTAGATTATCAGGATTAAAACCCCCATATCCTGTTCTATGATTTTCCCCAGTCTTCCCCACCCCCAAACACACACACACACACACACACACACACACACACACACACACACACAGTGGCAGACAGCAGCTCCTGGGGTGCTGTCCACACCACCATACCACTCTGGGTCTTACGTCACTGACCATCCCACACTTGCCTTCTCCCCTCCCAGCTTTCATACTTCCATTTCCTGTTCAACAAATCCTTATTTCCTCATCCTCGTCTCAGTATTCTCTCCACCTCCCGCTCTGGCTTCACCGGGATGCTGGCTAGAGACACGCTTCCTTAGGAGGAGCTTCGCGCTCTCCGTGTGCCGCAGGACTAGCAGGGGAGCCAGTGCCCGCTTCCTCCCTCTTCCTCTAGTGCCTCTCTGGGGCACACCTCTAAGACTCCTGCCATCTGAGGCCGGCGTGGGCTCCCGTCCATCTGCCGCTGTCCCCTACACCATTCAGGGAAGACTGGCAGCACTGGCCGTGGTCTACTTGGCCCCAGAGCCAGCGATCGCCCAGGCCAGCCCGGCACCACATGGTCGTGCTGCCCCGCGTGCTGCCCTGCAGACGGCAGCACTCCATCGGCTCACACACACAGAAAACCCTCAGTAGCTGTCGTCACCCAAAATGGCTCTGCATCTAAAGTCACTAAGGAACACCCCTCTGACTGCAAAGTCCCATCCTTACTGACCGCATACTCAGGTACCCAAAGTGCTAATGATGTTTCCAACATCAGTGGAATTTCCAGGTCACTAGTTTCCCTTCTTTCATTTTCCTCAGTCCTTTCTCCTCATAAGCCCTGTTTAACTTAGATTCCATCAACCCCATCATTTGAAACTCTATCACAAATAACTTAAACCCTTCTGTCTCTCTGACTTTCTATCATTCCTAGCTGTGGGGAAAAAGGGCAATCATGGATTGGTTGAACATCCTACTGCTCTATGTTTCGCATAACTAAGTTCTTCTGGAAAAAAATTAGACATAGTACAGACTAGGTGTTCCCAAAACACCACTCTCCTCATCTTCCACCGGCTCCCACCTTCAGCTTTCAGGGGCTGAGCCTGCCTGCTGCTAAGTGAGGACACAGGAGCAGGTGGACAGGAACGCCGTCCCACCCTGAGCATCATCTCCCTCCTCCTTTCCGTTACAACACATAGAGCATTCTCCCCGCTCCAAAGCAATGCCTCACCATTTCTGTTTGCACCCATGCACCCCCGATTCCCTAGTATCTGCAGGCTATCATATATTTCAACAGTTCCTGCACTACTAACACGTAAAACACTCCAGTCCCCCATTATAAAAAGAAACAAAGACAAAAAATAAGAACCTACAACTTTACTTGGCTCCCACATTCCCCCTTAGCTGCTGTTCACCTTTCTCTCCTCCATAGCAAACTTCTCAAAGAAGTTATCTCCATCCTCACAGCCCCTTCTCGAGCCACATTAATCTACCTTATAAGGTCACTAATGACCTCTGTGCATCAAGCCTCTGTGCACTGCTGAGTATGCATCACATTCAATGCCTGTATACCATTAACTGCAGCTGGCTGTCTCCTCTTGGAATTGTTCTTGTCCGCTGGCTTTGGTGACACCACACTGACAGTTTTCCTTCTGCATATGAACATTTTTTTGTAATCTCCTTTGCCAGTTTTCCTCCTCCAGTTGACCTTAATATGTCAGGGAACCTCTTCAAGATTTGTTCCTGAACCACGCATTTCTACATCTTCATACACAACTGTATGCGACAGATGCTCACAGACTTGAGCCCAGCATTCTTGAAGTTCCAGATCAATATATCTAACTTTCCAATCATCACTCCACTCGAAATCTTGTAAAGTCATTTCAAACTCAAGATGTTCAGATGGAACCCACTGTCTTGTCCTCCTAACCTACTCTTCCCCTAGAATAGCTCATCTTGATAAACCGCCTTACATTCTCCCTCCCTCACTTCACTACACCCTATCAACCAATCCTCAATTTCTTAGCTGTTTCTTTAACCTGGCCTAATCTAATCCACCATCATCTCCTGCTTGGACAATTTTAATAGCCATTCTTTACTCATCCCAATCTATTCTCTATCCTACAAACATAACAATATTTTCAAAACATAAGTTTAATCATATCACTTCCTTCTTAGTACTTTTTAATGGCTTCTCATTGCTGTTAGGACTAAACCCCAAATCCTTAGCCTAGCGTACCTGACCTGGCTCCTGTCTCTTCAGAGGTATCTTATGTGTTTTTTCTCCATATTCAGTATTCTGCATCCATACTGGCCTTTTCCTGTTCCTTGAACCTGCTGGATTCTTTCAAATCTCAGGGCTTTTGCATGTTGGAATAAGCATCCCACTGTTTCTTTGGATAACTGCTATTTATCTTCCAGGTCACAGTTTATATTTCATATCCTCAGGCTAACTAACTTCTAAGAAGAGGGTAGGTTCCCATTTTATACAGCATTTACCTCAACTATAAATTAAAAAATATTTGTTTAATGTTTACTTCGTTTATTAGACTGTAAGCTGCAAGCCTAAGTCTACTTCACCATTGTGTCGCCAGCACCTAGCCTGACACATAGTTAGTGCTCAGTAAATGCTTACTGAATGAATAGGTAGGTATTCTACAGCTCTTCTCTGAGGTGTTCATGGTCTAGGAAAGAGGCTTGCATAGCGACCCGAAATTCCCATTACAGTGTAATTACACTGCATGAAAATACTGACTGATGCTAGGTCCCAATGTGTGGTGGTATTAGAACAAATATTTAAACTCAAATTACATTTTCATTACATTGAATGAACAGTAAGAAAGTATACCTTAGACATTTCTTATGCTCTCATAACTTTGTGAAACATATTGAGGAATAAGTAGAGAGAAAAAGAGCTCCCCTATCCAAAGGCAGCTTTTGGAAACAGCTTTTTAACAAAACAACTTTTGAATAAAACAGAGGAGTTGGTGTTTAAAAATTGTAAACCAGTCCCTAATTTAAAAATATGCTTCTGTCATTCAGTAAACAAAAAGATCTATGAGAAAAGAAACATACAGTATATAAACAGACTTTTGCCTAAACTGCTTCTCACACCATACTACCTAGGCTACCACCAAAAAGGCCCAGGATATTAAACCCATAAACAAACAAACAAAAAAACAGTCTCCATCAGCCAATCTAGATGTAACTCTGGACAACATTCCACACACAGTTACCTCTCAATGAATGCTACTTAATATTGTTTTCAGTACTATTTTAATACACTTGATTAAATTAAAGCTTAAAGTGATATTTTTAATATTTATCAATGCATATTTATCTCCATATCCCTCCCAGGCACCATAATTCTCTCCTTGGTAGAGCTGGAATAAGAGGCATGACCTCGACTACAGGGAGAAGAGTTATCACATTAAGAACCACAGCAAAGGATTTAACAAAGGAGTCAAGAAGAGGAGGAAATAAAAATGCACGGAACCTAGCAATTTCCTCATTAAATACTGTATGATGAAGTGTAATGGGCTGAATCAATGATGAATTAGGCAGAGAGCTAGCCATGGGGGAAAAGAAACTTGCAAATGCTACAACAGTTCACATTATTGCCTCTAAGATAAAGGAAACCCATGATTAAATTAATGTTTTTCTTCCAGAAAATAATCATATTTTTCCAAGAATATCTTACTTGTAATTCATATATTGAGAGAATTAGATTTCAAGAAAAAATGTTCTCAGCTCTAAATGATTTCTTCAGAGACGCCATCCCTGACCATGTTAGCCTTTCCTGCCTTCCTTTTACCACTTATCCTGAAATTAGTTTCCCAGTTTATTTGCTTATACCAATTGTCTCCTTCACTGGAGTGAGGACATTTACCTCATCTCACCTGTTCACCACTGAGCCCTCAGCACCTACTAGAGCAGTGATTAGCACCTAATAAATACTCAATAAGAATGTTTTATAAATGCATAAAGGATAATAAAAACAATAGCAAATAATGGCTATAAGTATTTTGGCGGATCTTCACCACAATGCTGTAAGATAATCACTATTTCATTCTCATTTCGTATCTTGGCTTGTCTAAAATCAATCTCTAATCTTCTGTTTCTAAATACTAGAAGCTACTTGCTCTGCCAAGCAGCAGGAATAACTCCTAATTTACTACAAGTCTTCTCTGAAAAACTTTACTCAGGTAGGAATAAATCTAATGTCAAGGTTCTTTTTGCCAAAACAAAAAAGAAATAGAAAACGTCCTTGTAAACTCAAATTATCTGAATCATAAATAATGCTTCATCCTAACATGACACTGCAGTAAGAAGTGCTCAGGGGATC